GATGGCGGCTGCCTGTAGTGGCGACCTGCGACCATGGAGATATAAACAGCTTTTTATAAGGTAAAAATAATAAAACAAGATCTTTGTCTGCAATGATTAGACATGTTTTTTTTTATTATTGTCATTAGTGATTATCTCAATTTTGGCTAAAAGACTTGACAAAATCCTACACTCTGTGCCTTTAAAACGACCTTAAATGTGTTAGCTTAGCCTGTTAGCTACAATGCTAATGATTTGTTGTCATGAAAAGCCAAGAGTGAACACTGTTCTCAATGCTTTCTCCCAGGATGCTTTGCAAGGACTTTCACTGTACTTTAGTAAGCTACTTAATGCCAGGTCGAAAGGTAAACAGCCCTGCAGATACACCCGTTTTTTTTTTTTTTTTTACTGCACCTATTTTACTGAGGTCCTAATTAAATTCTGGAAAGTAAACTGATCGCAGGGCCTGAGGAAAGCTGTATAATGACACAGCAACAAAACAGATACTGTCTTGTTTTGACTTTCTCACATGAAAAAACAAAGTGCCTGTTGTTCTGCATACAGAAAGGGTGTTAACATTTTACACATAGTTGGTGCAACTGGTTCAGAAATTAATTCTGCCTCTGCTTTTTGCACCATATTTGTACATTTTAAATCTTTTGTGCACAATCACAATCTTTTGTGTTATTGTTTGCATTGTTTGATTACGTCTTGCACAATTTGAATTTTTGGTGATTTGTCAAAGAATTTGAGTACAATTTGTTGATACCATCCCCTGCATCAACCAAAATGCTGGCAAAATGGATTTTATTCTATTGGTCTTTATTTAACCAGACTAGTCCCACTGAGATCACAGATCTATTTTGCAAGGGAGGCCTGGGCCTGAAGGCAACCTATTTTACATGTTTTTGGTCTGAGGGAGGAAACCGGACTACTCGGACAAAACCCACGCAAACTCTGCACAGAAAGACCCCGGGTTCAACTGAGCCATCATGTTGTCAAAAATAAATACATTTTAGAAATAAATATCATAGATTTAAGTCTGTTATCAGTGCTGACTCAGCAGCCATCTTAGTTCCAACCTCATGAATCCGTGACTTTTCCACCAGGCAGGGCCACTCACTAAAATTAAAACAATATCTTTTATTATTTATCAGGTTAAATTAGGTGGGTATTTGTAAAGTGCAGCAAGAGTCAGCAATGATCACATGTAGGAAAAACTATCCAAAATACCATTAGTAATCAGATTGTTTACTTCCTGTTTGAGAGGGAGCTATGGCATAATTGGGAACGGTTTCTTATTTTTTTAACCCCGATTTTGGCTAAAACGGCTCTCCATACTGTCATTCTGTGTTTGTCTCTTTGCTGACAAGGCAGATGAATGTCCATCCTGAACCTGGATCTGGGAGGTTTCTTTCTCTTTAAAATATATACATTTTTATTTACACTGTTGCCAATGTGAATGTGCTGCTCAGGATGGGAGATTGCAAGATAACTTTTATTAAACGTCACTATTTTTGTGCTTTAAGATGACTTTGTTGTGAGTGAATTGATACTGTATAAATAATCTGAACTGAAACAAATAGATCTATATACTTGGTATCATTCAGGTTATTTTTGAGATATTTTATGTTTTAATATAAACCTTTTATGATTTTACATTATGGCTTTTTTATCTGATTTGTGCTTGTGATTGTGTTTTAAAACGTTATAACTGAAAAAGAAAATTTAACAGATAAAAACAGCTCTTATATCAGAGGTTTTAGTTACTATTATAGTAGCTCTAAAAACGAAACAAATCTGTGTTTTCATCCGGGTAGTTTGAGAACTCTCCTTTCCTTTGGAAGCGACTTATCTTCCCAGGTTCATGTGACGATGAGATCACTGTTTTCATATTTTCCTGTTGACAGTGAGTCTGGTAGGGCCAACAGGAACCACCGTTATTCTGTCACCAAAGTCTGATTTAGTCTTTGTTGCGGAGGATACTGTGGTAAATTTACAACGAGTTATTTTTTTTACTTTAGCCTCTAGTTTGTTATGAACGAGCAGCAAGCTAACGTTAGCAAACAAAAGGCGGAGCTGGTTCACCACAGCTAGCCTGGATAAACTCGTTCTGGAAAATTCTTGCCTCGACACGGAGGAAGAAGTATTTATTAACACCATCTGCGCTTCTTCTTGGTGCGAATATTCAGTCTTCCATTAGCCTAGTTTGGTTGACTTTCGACCTCAGCCCTGTTGCTCCATTTCCACACCCCAGCTCACCTGTCGGACGGACGGGCTGAACTGGAACTCGCCAGCCTCTTTCAGATCCAGCCAGATCATCGGCATCCGGGGGACCGCCTCCATCGCGGCCGGTACTAAACGAACCAGACGACCGGTTCGATGTCAGAACGCCAACTGGGATTATTTGGACGTTTTACTGGTTTTACTGAAGCTTGCTTCCCCCCAAACAACCGTGTCATGGATCCATTTACGCTTCAACCGGAAACTGGAAGCGTACGTGACGTAGGCGTCAAATACGCGTCGCTGGGGTTTCTGGGAAATGTAGTGTAATTGAAAAATATAATAAAATCTATCGAGAAAGATCTAGTTTGAGTATCTCTCCGGTGTCACGGCAAGCAAAATGTTTTTCTCCTTTTAAGTAATGCTTATAGAGTCACCTTTCTACTCTTTCTAATCAATAAGTTCATAATAAATACCAAGACTTTTACAAATAGAAACGTTTAATTAGTGAGATAATTTTCTTACAAAAATAGATTCACATTGACCAAGGGAATGCTTTGAAAATTTTATAAACACCTATTAATTCCTGCTCTATATCATCCCATAACTTATTTGTTTAAACATTAAATAATCTAGGGGAAAATCTCATGATGCTGTAGGAAGATATCAAAAAGTTACAATAGAGTATAATGCAAAAAAAGATAAATAATTAAATTTATCAACTCTTCCATCACTGCTGGACTGTTCCGTCTCTTTCCTGTCTGCAGATGTCACTGTTGTGCTTTGAGCAGCAGTTTTTCTGGAAGAAAAGACTGAACATGATGTCAGAAACATGCAGGGTTGTTCTCCACAGACTGGATTGGGTCATCATGGGTTAACATATTTAATGTGATCTATATCATTTAGAGTGAGCATGAGCAACTTCCACTTCCATGAAACAGCATTGGATATTGTCAATATTCATTATAAGTGTACCAGAAAAAAACAGAATTGGCAATTATTATTGCACAATCAGCTTTTAGACACGTTTAAAAAAGTTAGAGTTGGTTTGGTCAAACCTTGAAAACATGATCTCATCTATACACCAACTAGTAAATATTGTGAATGATTCTCAACTACTTCTACACCAAATATTACCTTTTTATCTGTCGAATTAACCGAGTTCCAGCTATTTTTGTATTGTTTAAGGTGAATTCGCTGTGGCAGCGATCTTGAATGAAATAGACTCTCTGTAATAAGCAGTCGCACATTTCTCTCTCCTTTTCTATGTAAGGATGACTTAGTGAATAAGAAGTGATCACTTTATTATCCTGGCGTGTCAGCAGGGGCTGATTAACTGTCACACCAGCATGTGTGTGAGACGTAAAGCTGCAAAACCTCCAAGTACTGCTTGTCACAGACGTCTGCATCACCTGCTGAGCTTAAACTACAGAAAGAAGTTACTCTCAGCCTGGGGAACGTGTTCATCGATAGTCTGATACAACGTGAGATGAGCGTTTAAGCATTTAGAGTTTTGGAAGGTGTTATGTAGGAGAGATGATGCAAATTGTTGCAGATAACTTGTCTGAGTTTTAGAGTGCAGTTCAACCTTAAATTGCCAGCAGAAGAAGGCCTCTACACAACAGATTAAACGTACTGATAAAACAAAGGGGGACTCTGGTCCTAGTTAAGTAAAATATAAAGATAAGTGGCGAGAAAGCTGTGGAGACTGGAGATTTTACAAGTTTGAGAAAATCAATCGGTTTGAAACTGCAGATATTTAGCACAAAGATTTTTTGCTCAAAGCTTGTAGAGTTTGAAGGATGTACGTGACTCCAAACTATTGAGTTTTTATTGAAGCGAGTTTGGCCCTCGGCAAAGACCTACCACTGTTTAAGAAGCAAAATAAACATTTCATGTTTCCAGATGATAAAACTGATGTTGTGTGTCCAGTCATCTCCATTTACACCACCTGTTATTGCTGCTGCCAAAGGCAAAAAGACTCAAAAAATTTTTTGTCCGATTTTACCAATGAACAGACCAGCGAATTTCTCAACATCTGATTAACTTTTAAAATCAGCTTTATTTTAATTGTCTGCCTTAGCTGATTGACATTAGCGAACACAGCTTCGACAAATATTGAGCTTAACTTTGGTGAGGTGAGATGATGGTGCAGGTGGATGGATGATGAAGAGCGATTGTGTCTGAAATATAATTGCACAAGAGAGAAACACAAGTTAGCTGAGGGGAAAAGAAGAAGGAGGAAGGCAGAATTAACAGACAGAAAACAATGGCATAAGAAAGAGGGGAAGTTTGACACAGAGAGAACCAAGAAGACACAAAAACATAAAAAGAGGATGCTGCATTCAGGGAGAAAACCAGAAATGAGGCAAATCAAGTCAGGTTATTTACTTATTTGCTCAGACACTGAACCCTTTATCACATAATTATAAAACAAGATAAGAGAACAGGAGGCAGATCAAAAGCACATTGCAGGCAGAGCAAATATTAATGAGCGTGTGAAGGGAAGGTGACGGACAGACAAATAGATGATAAATAAATGAGGAGGGGAGGAAGATGAAGAGGAAGATGGACAGAGAATAGTGAGACAGAAAATAAGGGAGGGAGAAGAAAATAGATGAGAAAATGCATGTAAAATATAAAAAATAAAGTGAGACTGGAGGTGTAACAAAAAAATGTTTGATGTTTTCTAACTTGACTCTGACTCTGTTGGTTGCAGAGGTTTTGCATCTTCTTCCTGTCAAACAGCGAGTTCCCAACAACACGAGGATTAAAACGGCATTTAATACCAAACAATTGATTCTAATATTATAAAAGATGCTTTACGTAACAGAGATACACATGGGACCACCAGTGGTACGTAGGAGGTTCTAGTCATCATTCGGACTCCTCAGCTGTCCAGGATTAGTATAAGGCCTTCAGCAACGCTTGGCCCGAGCACACAGAAAAGTATTTATTTACATATGTCTATGATACATGCACACCCACCATGGCCACGAGTGGTGAATGTTCCTCTGAGAGTTGGAACGGGATGAATCACTGCTCTGCAAACACGTTATTTATTTATTTTTTTTGTCTGAAGTTTGTTTTCTGTGTGAAAGTTCTGAGGAAAACAACCAGTCTGAAAAAGTTGTGCTTGTTGGAATAAATCTTAAAACTTCTAAAATGTGATTGTTTCAGAGAAACTTTCTTTTTACTTTAGTTTTATTCTAGTCCTTCTGATACACGTCACTAAACACAGACAATATGAGAAATGACATGTTTTTTTAGATATAGGAAATAAAATACAAATATAACTTTTGCTTTATGTAATGGAACTAATACTTTTATGTTTAAGCAAGTAATTCGTGACATCCTTTAATGACCTAGATTTTCATGACATGCTGTTCATCTGCAGATAGAATGATTAAAGTCAGAACAAGATCTGCTAACAATAATCATTCTTAGATATCACTTGTGTTTATCTTTGTGTTTTCC